AAATTTTATCTGAGTTCAATTGTCAGCGAATACAGAGCAGCTATAATAATATTGAGTATAGAAGTCATTGGGTACAGATATAGGTGAATTAAATTGTATCTGTGCTGCTGAGTATCGTTATGTTGAATAAACTTGTAGCTTTATCTGGTTTATCGCTTTACATATCATTAAATCTCCTGACAAAAAAATTTTTTGAAGTGCATTCGTAAACTCATTGAAAGTAAAAAATATTGTTTTCTGTGATTTTATATAAAAATAAATTCCTCAAATCCAATCAAAATTTTTTAATTATAATTTAAATAATAATAAATTAATATGAAAGATATCAAAAAATCCGACGAGGATGGGATTCGAACCCACGCGTGCAGAGCACATTGGATTAGCAGTCCAACGCCTTAACCACTCGGCCACCTCGTCATTGTGCCAAAATTTGATCGAAAATTACATCAGAAATATTTTGCAAATTTATGTAAATAATTGTTAAGCTTTGTTAAGATATTCACTTATTGCTGTGTTACGAGAATAAATTTGCTCGTTGTATTAAGGTTCTTGTTATTCATTAAGAAGGTTGAAATGATGTATGTCCATTCCGTTCTCGTGTCAGTATCCCACTCTCACCAAATTATTAAAATTGAAGTAAATATTCAGACTAATCTTAAATTCCAAATGTAAGTCCATTAAATGTTTAGAAAATCATCAAAAAAATTCTACCTCTTCAATATACGTAACAGATGTATTTATCAAAATTTTTTATTAATTATATAGCGAAAAAAAAAGTTTCCATTAGATTTCACCCAGTAAAAACATTAAGAAACTTATAACGAAAAAGTAAATAATAACCACCTAAATAAAAATCGATTGTTAAAGTACTAAAGCTGCTGTAATAAAACTTTTATTACAAAAGTTTGCGTTGTTTAAAGTAGCAGGAATGTAGCAAGCTGGTGGCTTAGCGTTGTACCAACCACAGTTAAGATTCTAAATTATGTATGAGAATTTTCATAAAATAGTGTGTCAAACTTGTACTGTTGTTGCTCTTGTATGACTTGCCAGTTTGGGCTTTGTAATGTTCGTATGAGAATTTCTTTATATTATTCATCGTGACAAAAGTGAACATACTACGACTCATTATTGTCAATAATTCACTTGCTAAAAAAAAAAATTCAATAGCACTGGCAAGGTTTCTTGTTTTATTCATTGAAAAAAATTTTGGTAATTATGCAGATTGAGCTACACATTTTCGAAAATTATTTATATCATAAAAATTTAACGACGCGTACATTTTTTTTGTCTATAAATAGTTTTTTCGGAATCCCCGTGTAATTTTACATAAAATAAACCTTGATACAAAATGGAAGATTAGATTTTTTATTACCCCTATTTTGATTTGTACTCTTACTGGACTAAGAACGAATTTAATGGCTACAAATATATAGAGTTCATTTATAATGATGTTATCCGGATAGTAACATTTTTTTAGTGAAACAATAAATTTCTCATTGGAAGAACTCAAATAGATCAGATAGTACGAATTTTTAATTGTTCGTAAAAAATTCAATTATTATAAATGAAACAAGTATGTTTATATGCACGGTATTTAGTTGGTAATCGTTCTTAATGAAAAAAAGAAGCTTCCGTTGGAAGAACTCGAACGTGTTGCATAAATTCCGTTTTTAATTGTTTACAAGGAATTCAACTGTTATAAACAAAAAAAGTTTTTTTACACTTAAAAAAATATGGTAAGTAACCTTTTTTCAGTAACAAAAAAAATTTCGCGCTGGAAAAACTCTGATTTGTTATAAGCTTCTGTTCCCAATTATTTATAAAATTTTTATTGTTATAAACAAAAGGAATTTGTTTTTTTCATGAAACGTAGTTAGTAATTATTTTTATAGAAAAAGAAAAAAAAGTATTGCTATGACTCGTATATATTAGATAGACCTCGTTTTTAATTGCTTATAAAATATGCAATTGTTATAAACAATTAACATAAACAAAACTTAGCCTGTGTTACTCCTGAAATTCACTTCTTTATGTCTACAAAGTTTCATCGAAATCGGTTCAGCCTTTTTCGAGATTGCCCCGAACAGACAGACAGTTTTGTCTGTTGGTTATCGGTCCAGCTCGAGGTTCTTCACCTAAGTTTAAGAAAGAGAAAGAATATGTGTTAAATATGCAAGTTATACTTACTGTTGAAGATAGTTGTAATATGAATTTAGATGTTGAATTGAAGAGAACTATTTAATAACTTTAATTCCACTTTTATTTAAATGTAAAACACAGTTTGATAACACACTCTTGTGATTATTATTTACCGAACTCAATCGGATTTGTGAAATAATATTTGTATTATTTGTTGAGGGTGAAAACCCCAGAAAGTGAATGCCCTGGTAAAATTAATTCCCGATAGATTCTAATACATAATTTATAAGAATAAATAAGAACGTATCGGGTCTATTGGAAGACTATAAATTTTCTTATAACCATTCAATAAGTATTAATCAAAATTTATAAGAGTAAAAGAATTTTTGGTTGATTTTATAAGTTTATGTAAGAATGCATAAGGATAATATGATAGGTTTAAATAAGAAATTATAGGTAAATAATATTTTTTCATTTCTGAATTGATTTATAAGAAACTATCAGACCGTTTCTCATAAGATCGTATAAGAATTTATGAGTATTTGACGCCGTTTGATTATCCATTCGATTGTATACGATTCTATAAAAAGAAATGTTATCAACTTGAATAAGGACTTTTGGTAAATAATTTCGTCAACATATCAACTTTTTTCATAAGAAACTATAGGACCGTTTCTCATAAGAACGTTTATGGATTCATAAAGCATGAGAATATGACTTAGAAAATATTTTCTCATCACGATAGTCCCTATTAGGATTGTGCTATAGGAAAAAGCCTATAGGATTCAACCTTTTTCAATAGCAATGTTTAAGCAAAAGAAATAAATTTAAAGTATTATTTCTTTATTGGAGTTACTCAAATCTTGTAGAAACTGTTTTCTCATTTACCTATAAAATCAGATTGCATCCTATCGGACAAAGTCATGATGGAACCATAATCCATTATATATTATTTCTATGAAATGAAAAAATGAATGAATTATATTCTTATTCAAACTTGAATCTGAAAGAGTTCTTCAGTTGCTTCAATGCTTTCTAGCTCCCCACCACTGATTTCTTACCCCTTCTACCACGTTTTTCGCTACTGCGCAAGCGTACAACAGCACATGAGGAACTCTCTTTTCAGTCCGACTATAGGAAAAATCAGAATCCTATAAGTTTATAATATTGATTCTCAATTCCGATTAAAATCCATATTTTCCTATTGAACTTCCTACAAAAGCAAATATTTCTCTGGTTGCTTATTAAAAAGAAATTACTAACTATTTACCAATTCTTAGTGTTTATTTATTATTTGTAGGATTGCTCAGTGACACAATAGGAAATAGTAAAATTTTACCGGTTACCTGGGAAAAAATAAAAGAGATTTACACAGATCTACATTTTCGCTATTTTTTAGATCTAATTTGATCTACTTATATCTAAAAACGTAATACGGTATTCATATATGGTTCTTATTAGGTTCTAAAAAGGGAATACCTTGCTATGAAATCCCAATTCAGTCCTGATTTAATTGCCTTATCGTAGCCACTGAGGACCCTTTATCTATCTTAATCCAGACCTGATTTGATTGGAGATATATATATATATATATATTGTAAAATAAATATATGCATGTCCCCATCTTTGTATACATTGACAAACGACTAAATTTATTGTTAGCAACGCTTGATCAATTTGTTTGTGTTTAATTTCTGACTGAGGCTTAAGCTGACCAGACATTTTCCTTATCATGAAAGATTTGCCATTTCAGTTAATATACGTTTTAATTATTTTCTAATATTTCTTGGAGTTATTGTTTCGTAATATTTTATAATATATTCAACATACTACAATTTCAAGGTCCAAATTTTAATAAATAATAGAGGCAATAATCTGCATAGTTATTTCGAACTTTGATATTTTCCTAATTCACTTTGACTTGAATTCTCTGAAATTCAATTATAACATGTCAATTAAATTTGAAGCTGATGAACTTTTAAATATACCAGTTCATGTAACCAAATTTTCACAGAATTCTCAACCATCCTGAGGGATAGTAAACAAGGACCAACTTTTTTCAATAATATTAATAGAGTTAAAAAAATGGAATAAGAAGAGTAAGATTAGAACAAAGTTCAATAATTGGTTTAATTTTATAAGGAAGGATTTTAAAAATTATCTTATATATAGCCTGATTGAATTTCACAAGAATTTACAAAGCTATTTAATTAATAGAAGAAAATATTGATAATTCAATCATACATCTTTGATTAATGAATTCAGACAACTTTTTTGTACAGAGTAACAAAATATAATTTCATAAATTATTTTTTTTTATTCAATATATTTAAAGATTAAAAAAAAATCAGTAATAAGCATTATAATCAGACCATTTATCAATTACTTCTTGAGCCTTTGACGCCCAGTCTGGTTCAAATGTTTCAAAAACTACAAAAACAGTTTACAAATTTATTTTTACTGGCAAGAATAACTTGATGATAATTGTCTGATATGAGAAACAATACCTGAAGTTGAGTAAACTATTTTAGATAATTGCTCGTTGACATCACTGATGTGATCATTCATAAAAACAAAGTAAGTAGTAATATCGACCAGTTTAGTAGTATATCCCAACTGTGATAGAAGATTTTTTCTTTCTTTGAGAAGATCCAATATTTCTTTTAATTGACGCAATAAAGTACAACGTTTCTCTACCAACCAAGAAGTTTTAAGAGCACACCAATCATTAAAAGAATATGAACAATCCCAAAATCGTGATTTAACTTTCAATCTAATTTTAAAAATTTTAATACTCCAATTATTGATAGCATTTTAATAATAACTATTAAGTTGTATAGTACTGATAAATTATTTTGAATTTACGTCGAGTTTGGTTTTTTGGTATTTTTAAATTCACCAATATTTCTTTTATAAATAGGTGAGCTGTTCATCTTTTCATAATTCTCCAAAATAAACTCTGAATTATTTTTAATATTTACCAGCCACGTTTTGTTTATTGTTTTAGCTGTAAAATAAAACTTTAAATTTCTCATTAAACATACAAAGCAATAAAATTACCTGTTTTATTAAGAATAAATGCTCCAAGATTGTAAAATTCTCGATTTGATTGATTTGTAGCAACTTGCTGCACTGAATTAGACACAGCTGATATTCCTGATAATTTCATCACATACAATATTCCTAGTAATAATTGAAGTAAATTCGAAATGTAATTATCTTTAAACCTATCCATGGAAATTCCAGCTTAGTTCAACTAAATGTTAATACTGGAATCTTTTCTTACTCACACCTCTGCTCCATTTCTGTTCTTGACAACTGTTAAATTACTTTTTACAATTGATTTCAAGATTCATTTTTTCATTCTATTATATTAATTATTATGCTATTTCAATTGACAGTTATTATGTAATATTTATTCTTTTTCATTTGATTAGAGTAAACGAACCAATCAATTCAATTATTTCAAAGGATTAAATCAACTATTTGAGTTGAGAAACTGAAAACAGAGAACAATATTTATTCTCAATCAATAAGATGTATGAATAATTTATAAATTGTCTATTTACATTCAACGAAATGGATTTACAACAAAAGTAATTATTGGAATTTTTTATTATAAAATGTATAGAGAAAATTTTTCTAAATAAAATAACCTTAACATAAGATTGTTGTATTTAACACACCTCGAGCGGAAAAATATAGGTATATAAAAGTATATGGACTTTTGCGCACTAGTTTTAGGCAAATAAATAGATAAAATAAGGAAATACCTATAGGAAAAGATTCGCGCAACAACAATTTATGGAATGAAACGAGATGAGGACGATTAGATAAAGAATAAGCAAAATATCCGAAATTACAAATCTATAGTATATTACGATCCAAATCCAGAAAGTTGAATTTCCCGGCGTGTGTGATATGATGGCCGAGGCGAAGCCGAGGCCCTTATATCACACACACCGGGGCATTCAACTTTTTTGGCCGTGTGTTGTATACTATTTTTCTTGATCCCGCCGAAAGTAAGTTCGATAATCACTTGATAAGCTAAACGGTTGTATGGAGAATGCCCGCCCGACTTTTGCAGAGCCGAGGCAAAGCCAAGGTTTTTGCTGGTCGGGGGCGGGCATCAGCAAAAAAGTTCAAAATCAGGAATTGGTTTAACATTATTTATACATAAATAATAGTAACACTGATTACAGGAAACTTAAATGTTAACCAACAATAATACTATTATACTATGTTTATAGTCTTGATAAAAATTATTCTGAATATTTGATAAAAAGAAATTAAAATTAAAAGTAAAATTGAAAGTACAATTTTCAAATTTAGTAAGGGATTGAATGCATCTTTTGTCCTTCATTTTTTTCTTATGTTTTATTACTTTGTAAACATATGTAGAATATTCTACGAGTTATTGAAATATCCAACTTTTTTTTTATTGCTCATCTGGTTAATAAAATTAAACATAGTATTCACGTGGATAATAAATAGTGTAAATGCTTATATCTGATTTGTATTTGTAAACGAGTAGTACAGGAATGTGTAATAAGAGAGGGTGAGAAAATCAATAGGACATTGCTCTCGTGTACGTTTATACTTCCATAAATCATTTTATACTCTCATCGTAAAAAAATAATTCTTTTAATAGCAAATGAATGAAAATCTTCAATAATAATGTGTAAATAATGTTAAGAAATAAATGTATACATTGTAAAATACGAATCCTAGGGTATCCACAGAAACGTATTAATAAATAAGAAACAATGAATCGATCGTAATATTTTGAGAATGATTCATGTTTTAAAAGGTCATACCTTACTTCACCTGTATCTTGCAAGTGTGTTAATAGTCAAGGTACTTTCACTGTTACCTTTAAGAGGGTTTATACACTCTATCTTACTACACAATTTATGCTGTAAAATAAGTGGCTCAAAGAAAACTGCATAGTATCATCAATTGAATGAACTAATTAATTTATTTGGGTATATTTAGTTCACATAATTAATTATTACAATCCCAACAACAATATGTAATTCATAGTTATTCAATAAATTTTGTAGTTATAGTAACTATAAATTTAGATAATTGTATATAATATACAGTTGATAGAATTAAAAGAGTACTTGGATTCAATTAAATTAAAAAATTAATTGAATGCATCGATCTTTTAATTTCAACAAAACATTCTAATTCTGTCAAAAATATATGTGATTGTCATTATCAAATTGAACTTTTCCGGTTACTTGTTTGAAAGGAACTATCAGCTTGATCAAACTATACACGTTATTGCTGTAACATATCATTTGGTTATAATTATCAAATCTTAGTTGGCTTAATCCCATATTGATTTAATTGGTTAAAAGTTGGTCAGATGACGTACAAGGTGTCATACCCAACCGGCATTGCGAGAAAAGTCATTCTGTTTTGTTGAAGTGCATTAAAAGTTCAGTAAAGTGCAGAAATTGTAATAAAAAATGGAAGATTTTTAAATAACATTGGTTTGAGTGATTTGTACGAAGTGTTTATTGGCAAATGGGTCCAATGCGACATTATTCTGGTGTAAAATTTGAATCTTATCACCAGTTATCAAAAAAAGAAAAAAATGTTCAAGTAATTAATTCTAGAGTTAACTTAACTTATTCACTAGCTTTAAAAATACAATTAGACTTTAGTTACAGATTTTTAAGCCAAAGAGGCATACAACAACAGTCGAGTATGATAGATATTTAGACATGACAAATAATAATAAATTACAATTTTCATCTATCAAGGTCCACGTTTCAGAAAATGGTAATAATATTATGAGCAGAAGAAATTTGTTATAATAAATTTGTGTGTTTATGTATGTATACTATTCATGTATTCTTATGAACATTATTTTTTTAGTTAAATTAAAAATATAATCTATTTTAATCAACAGATTTTGTAATTATATCTTTATTTTAATAAATTCGTACAATTAATACATAAATTAATCCAAACTGACAATTAATTTAAATTCATTAATTTTATTATTTCTCTCAAATTATCATTGATTTGACAATAATAAATTAATTGAAAGGACTCAGTATAAACTTGTTTCAACGGGAAATTTATTTAATTCTTTTTCATTAATGATTATTTGAACTAGAAATACGCTGCAAGCTCTTCGAGCGCGCTGTCTCAAGTCGACAACGTAAACAATTATTTAATTGTTATTTTTATTCATTTCGAAAATTTATAAACAAAATTCAGCAATTAGCGCACGAATAAAATGGTTACGTTTTTTTGATTGGTCGATTTAATTTTGTATTCTTTGATTATTGTTTTTTGGTATTTGTTACGGTAATTTTAGAATTTTTTTTTGTTATTATCATTGGTGAATTGAAATCTCCGTGATTTTATAAAAAAAATATTATAAATATTTAATTAAGTTCACAAGAATGATTTTTGTAATTATATCTCTTTGCCTGACAGTCATAAGCTTTAATAGATAGGACTAAACAATGCATGTTCTCATTTGAAAATGTACTTGAATCAAAAGCTGCTCATGTTATAATGAATTTATATTATGGTCCTCAGAATCAAAAATTATTTAATCGAACTAATAATCTTTTTCATGCAACTTAGTATTTAGTCCGCCGACGATTGTGATTTAGTAGCTATACATAAATAGAAATTTGTCTCAACCAGAAGGCTTAAATATATAATTTATTTTTAGTAAATAAAGATTTATTTTGCCGTATTCAAGTATGGCATTTATTAACTATAACTAAATCTTAGTTGATATTAAGAAACTCTTTTCTCAGTGTACATGTATTTAAGTTAAATGGCATTGTCAGTTCGATACTATAGCTTGATAGATTTTTCTACTGATTTCCTCAACAATCTCGAATCTACAGGAGCAATTGATGGGATAATTTAATTATTCATTTATTGAGCTCCTACAGACACCTATGTGAAACAGAAGATAAGACAATTTATTTTTACATTAATAGTAAAAAACCAATTTTTATTGTTAAAATTAATTTGAATCAAAATTAGAAAGCATGAGAGTTATTCAGTTTGTATATTCAAATAGAATTTCTAAAAATAACTTTGAATATTTGACCATTTTCAATTGTTGACAAATCTTGATTATTACAAGTTTTAAACACACATTATCTAAAGATAAGTATTTTGTTAGATAAAATTAATATTATTCATACAGATGAAGGAACAGAAATTTATTTGTTTCTTGTGTACAAATGTAAATTAATTTCTCAAAAATGTGTTTTTGAATGATTTAAGTATTATTAGATTATTTATCAAACTGATTAATGAAAAAAAAATCTCACATCGATAATATCACGTTGTAACGTCTTAATCACACACTTGTTTTTTCAAAAATCAATTTTGTGTCATTGTTATTCTAATTTGATAACATGAAATAGATTTTAAATAAAGTGTTGATCAAATATTTCATTGAAATAATTAAAAACTAGGTCAATCTCTTTTTATCTTATATGTATTATTTGAATGTAACTCAGGATTTTGATACTTTAGGTAATCGGAATAAATAAGTGAAAAAAGTTTGTTTCATCAAGCAGCAAATTAAATGCCAGTCTACTTGCTGAAAGAACTTGATAGTTATTCTCATGAGATAGCGACGCAACGTCGTTTACTTGCGTGATTCTCACTGAAATGTGCATTTAAAGTTAATTCCTCTTTCTTAGTCGACTTTTCTTCCTTAAAATTTTTTTTTTTTTTTGTATTGAATAACTGCTATTTTTAGTTTACTCGTTAAATTCATAAAACATATCTTTTTTAACAATTGAACATAACAAATAAGATAAGATAAAAAAAAAAATCAATTTTTAACTCAAGATGTTACGATGGAATTTGAAAACCTCAGACTCATTTTACTTTCATTTGTACTTCATTTCTAAAGAAGGTTTCTGTTGCGATCAATGCATACAGAAACAATCTGGCGAAACGGGTTTTCAGATAAAACTGGAAACATCAGTGTAAAAAAAGATCATTAAACACTGAATGAAGACCCTGAACTTTTCAATAAAACTTACGGAATATTTTTACTGTAGATTTTCATTTTTAATTGTTTTATACATTACGAAAAATGTTCAAGAATAACTTTATACGAAATTTTAAATAAAGTAGAAAGAATCCTTAAAGTCTCTTCTTCAAAATCATTATTTAAGTTGTATTTACAAAAATAAAACTTGCTTTATTATTCTATTTATTTTACAAAAATTTAAGTTATTTTTAGTAATCAAAAATATACTATTTTTCTGGTGTATTTTCCACGAAATCTTTGCTTCCAAATTGTAAAAAATTCAACACATTCATGAACTCTCCTTTCATTCCATAGTATTGCAATATCGACGAGTCCTGTGGCGTCAAGAAACTTGGCTGCTACAATATTGGTATACTGATACAACTTTTCATTGTATAGTTGAGTGATAATAGGTGCCACTGTATCAGCAAGTCTTCTTGAATTACTAGGATGATTAACAATACATGTTTTGTTACAAGTTGTTTCTATTTGTTTTATATCAACTTCAACTGAGATAGTTAAATATGTTATTCTTAGCAATTCTCTTATTAGTCTAAAAAAAAATTATAATTAATAAATAAATTGTCTTTTATGATGATAAAAATACAGAATATTAAATTACTTTTCTTGAAGCTCAAATAAATTTTGAATTAATTCTTCTGAAGCAAAAACATCATCTTCAAATTTATTCACATCATGAAAGTTATTTATATTTGTGATCCATGGTGAAGACCATAAATAATTATCTTTAACTTGATAATAACTTTCATAAACAATAATGAGCCGTTTATCAAGAGCCCATATCTCTCCAAGAGTGATACTCCATTGGTCATTTGGATTTTGTTGAATTAATAAATGATGAGAGAACTTCTTTTTAAGATAATCTACGAAATTTTTGTGATCTCTACTATTTTTAAAACCTAAAAAATATTATTTTTATATCATTCTTTATACTTTATAATAATTAGTGCATAGTTTTTTATTTAACAATTAGCAAAAAAAATTTGCTATTTCTAATCAATATTTTTCCTTTTTGATAGTGTATATTAGAAATATTATAATTTCTTCGCAATTTTAGCATTTAATAAATTCAAAATAACGTATATTTACAATGTCTTTCAATTGTCACTTACCCATAGAAAAGTTCCGAAAAGCCAGCATGACAATTTCTTTTGTACTATTCAAGAAAAAAAGAATATCCTGTATAATAAAGAGAAACATATTATTTAATTATTTATAAAATATTGTTTAAAAAAAATTAAATTAATATAGTTTTTACCCAGATTATTTTTTCGAGAGATATCACTTTGTTTCTATTATAAATTACCCAGTATGATTGATTGAGATGAGGAAAATAGCCAATAGAGATATCCAAGTATCGTGCTCCATGGACTAATTGGGTTAAGATATCTTGATTCTATTATAAAAATTTTCATTTTAATATTCGTCACCATGATGGTAATTGAACTTATTCTTCATTATATATATATATGTATGTATGTATGTATGTATGTATGTATTTTGGAAGATCTTACTTGTGAAACTGTAAACGTTTCAAATGCAGTTTCTTGAGGAGGTAATGTCTTGATGTACAATCCTGACATATAAGTTCCAGGTATTATTAAATCTGTCAGCTTCTGATCTTTCAATATCATTTTTCTATCATGCATCCAAGTAGGATGAGTTGACAGACAATTCACTTTTTTTATTTCACCATTTCGTAACCATGCTCCACAAAAAACTAAAAGAGTTTCAGAAGAATAGAATATTAAGTTCTTATAATCTCATTTCTAGCCATTGATCGTTTTGAAATCGATAAATAAATTATCAGCCTTCTGATCAATATAATCACAACGTTAATTAAGTTATATTACTATTAAATTAGACAATGTTTAATTAATATTAGAAATTATAAAATAAATTTTTTTATAATTTATAACATGAATTAAGTGAAAAATAAAATTGAAAAAGAATGAATTAAATGAATGATAAATCATCAAAAATGATTAATTTAAATGAATAATCAGAAAATACTCTTCAACAAAAAATAATTATTCTTACCTAAAATTTCTTCCTTATAAGAAGTTAAAGCATATTTGTGTAAAAGAGAAATATATTGACCAGTTCTAGCAAAACCACTCTGAACAGTTGGTTGGAATTCCCAAAGAAATTCAGTATCATTATTAGGTTTTTCTATGTATATAGCTAGGGTATCACCATGCTGAAATCCTACATTATGCCAGTAAACATTAATCTCACGTTTGAGTTTATTATCAATCCAAGCCGATGGCATTAAAAAAATTTGTGCATCACCAAAATTTTCCTCCAAGAGACATGAAATATGTGGTACTGATAGAACACGAAGACTTGCAAATTTGAATGATAATGAAATAATATAACAAATAAAAAACATGTTAATTAATTTAATCGACATCATTATTGAAACTTATTGTTTGATACAAGTTTTGGAATGGTTCTTCTAAACGTTCGTCGAAACTATTTAAATACCACTCTTATTGTCTGTTTCCACGTGATAGCATAAAATATTTAATCGATGGTAAAATGTAAATATTACCAGAAATTTTAGTCAAACATCTGGAATATGTTATTTGATCTTATTTGTATCAAATAAACAACTACTAAATAATTGAAGTAATATTATAATAATACTACCACTTGTAGATGACGTAAATATAAAGTCAATAGCTTAATATAACTCAGTATAAGTTAGTATAAATATATAGATAATAAGTAATTTAAAAATGTGAAAATTATTTTTTAATTAAAATCTAAAAATAGATTTTTTTTAAAACAAAAAATTTGTTGATGTTAGTTCTATACCATGCTGCCAATAGTGATTGATAATAGTAAATTTTTCTATTCTTTGTTCAAAGTTCGAAGAGAATGACCGACATTTGCTGATGTAATTTGTTTCAAAATGTCTGTCTGGTAAGGTCAATAACTTATAAAAGAAATGATAAACTAAAATACTACAATGACCTAAAAGTAGAATATTAATTTATTTAACAAGCAAATAAAAAAATCCAAATATATTAATTTTATTTGTTCGACATTATTGACTTAAACCAATTGAACACTTATTGAACTCATAATTAACTGTCAATTTTAAAGACTAATTTTAGAAGAAATAAAAATCATTAACATTATTGAAGAAAATAGAAGATTCTATTAATAGAGATACAATGAAGTAAAGGTTTTAATAGATGCAATTATAATTTTATAACCGAAAATTTATTTATTCAAATAAAATAAAAAATAAATAATGATATTTCAGATATCACAAAATACACAATTATTATGTGTCTACAATTTAACTAAAATAATTGTCATCATTTCCAGGTTCTGTTGATCCGTTTTCCGATATCAAGTTTTCTCCTGCTAGATGATGCTTAGAATCATTTTGAAGTGATGTTATTTCATTTAAAATAATTTCTTGAATTTTTAATCTCACATACAGTTGTCGTTCAAGTGGTAAACTTCTCATTGGACTTCTCACACTCATCAAAAAGTGATAAGTATCATCATCATTGTCATCTTGATACAAAAACCTTCTATGAACAGCATCGTATCGTTTTCTTTCGATATTCTGGTACTCAGAATCATTAGAATCTATAAGTATTCGCTTTCTATTAACCTTTCCACGCTTTGAAATAGTCACACCAGTTTGAGGTAAAAGCTCATCACATATCGACTGGCAAGAATCGGCATCAATAAGGTCATCAAAGTGTGCTTCTTCATCACCTTCAAGGATGTCGATTTGTGGCTCTATCTGTGTCTCTTCCAGAGAGGCTGCAAAATGACCAGTCTGCGCAATACCAGCATTACCACAACCGATCACTCGCGAATTCATTTGATCTCGTAGAAACTGCAAACTCTTGAACCAGATCCATTTAGATTCTGGCTCTACAGCTAACGGGGAGCCACCATCGCATGATTGTTTACTACGGTACGTCTTCTTCAGCTCATTCCGGAAGTTGTCACGCAAATGTTTCCACTTTGACTTGGCTACATCACCTAATCAAATTCAAATCATTTCATTTATTTCCTCAACAATAATTCAATATTAATATCTAATCCACAACTAAATGATCAAAAACTCGGTTAGACCTGATATAAACAATTCCAACAATATCAGTAGATAAACAATAAAACACGTGTTTTATTTACTTACTGGAAACATCACAAGCTCGTGCTATTTCTCCCCACATTTTCATAATAACATCTCGATTGTGATAATGTGTGTTCTTTTGATCCCAGATAGCTGGTCGTGCTTGAACCTCACTAATAAGTTTTTGCAAATCCATTACCCAAACTTATAATTATTACAATAGAGAAGAAGAAATTATATAGATAGACTCTTTATGTTAGACTATTTTTTTTTTGAAAAAATAATGATGTTGTTGGGTTATAAAGCCAGTGGTTGATTTAGTGATGAAAAAAATGGCGTCAGAAGTGGCGAGCTAACTACTTCTACCAGCTACGAATTTGCACTGTCCTCGGCTCTTTGCGTAGCGACGCCGAGCCGAGCCGAGCGTGTACAACATTCGTGCTGCCGTCGCTTCTATTCGTATCCTTTCCATGTAGATGTACTACAGTTGCCCTTGTCCGTTCTCTGCGTATACATCCGTTGCCTCCAGTCTTTTGGAATAGGCCTTGCTTGGTGTGTGCGTGAATCTGAGGCTGAGAATGCGCGCACACACGCATCTCATGAAATCGTTAAGGCGGCGCGCAGGAGCTGCGTGATTACGCTCGGCTCGGCTTTGGTACACCATCATCATTAAAAATATCAACATTTTTGTTCCATTATTCAACCCCTAAAGCTGCTTAGGGTAAACATTCTATTTCTAGATAGATTATAACCCATTTTAGCACCCTACATTTGCTAAGATATTTATTTAACATAAATAGATTGATTGAAATTACAAAACAATTGAATATTTCGGTGATATTTTTTTTCCTTTGCGATTAATACACTTTTGTCTATGATTGTTTGTGGATTTAATTTTTTTTTTTTTATATTATCTATAATTAATATGTATAGTCTAATTGAAAAGTTAGAGAAGCTTTTCATCGATAAAAGCTCCTACAGAAAATCACTATAAAATCATTTTTTTACATACAATAGTACTCATTATTACGTGTATTTGAAAAAAATGAGCAGAGAAATATGGACAGCAACTTTTCATTGAAAAAGTAGAATTAAGTATATCATCAGTGAAGTTCTAACAGTGCGTAAGTCCAATGTATAAGCATATGACTTACGTGGTGTTATAGAACTTCAGCGACGATATGCTTGAATACGAGAAATTTTCATTCCTATAAAATTACTATTATAAAAGCAATTTTGTTCGATTTTTAAAAGCCAATAAATGACTCTAAATTTACTGCAAATGTTATCTAAAAAAATTCCCCATTTATTTCCTTATCTGATTTGAAAGAAATCTACTTAAAATATTGCTACATGAATAATATAGTAATTGTTATAAAAAATTAAATTTTCTGTTTATTTATGTACTAGTGTTTTAAACAACTGTCTAACTATGGTACGAATCTAATGAAACTTCATTTGTCAATTTTTTAGTTATGATCACTACCATTTATTCTTATTTATACTTAGATGTTAAAATTTAGTATGAAAGATGGAAAAAATGTCCATAGGTTGTAGTCAATACTATGATCACTACAAACATGAATGTATATTACATCGTTACATAAAAGCCAAATCGTTCAATACAATTCGGCTCTACTCGATTCACTTCGGCTCGGAATTTCTGAACTCACAAAATCCCCTTTCCGACATTTGTTAGTCGATTCCAGAAAGCTCTTTTTAGACTTTTCACTTGTTCATACTGTCAAATTGATGATACCATTTATCGATTATGTCTTTATTTTCATATTAAGATTTTTAAACTAGTATTTATGTACAAATCCGTCTTATAATTCATATTTTAAACACTTGTTAATCGTTTATTAAAAATGAGATTGTCAATATTATTAATGTATTTCATAAATATACATATATTTTAGACTTGACGTAGTTGGAGTGAACATAAAATTCTATTTTACTTCGATACTTATTGCGTATAAATCAATTGGTAAAAGTAATAAAGTATATTTTTAAATTTTGATGTTTGATAAAATAGTGGAAAAATATTTTTAAATAGATAGTTATGACAGATTACACTAAAAAATCTGTCGGCATAATTTCAAATGACATTTTTAGACATTAAAATTATTTATACAGTCTACTTCGTTTGTATTGTTCAATTTTGTCATATTTATCTATTGAAATTGCACACCTGGATAATTATAATTATAATAACTTATTTAAAGGTAGTCATGAATATGATTTAATAAAAATCCACGTGTTTTTTGGACAATAGGATACTTTATTTTTATTGTAAAAAAATATTATAAAAATAAAAAATAAATTTAATATATTTCAAATAGATTTGTTTAATTATTTAGAGATTATTTTTGACTACTTCTCTTACATCTGAAGTAAAATTATTTTCAAATATGCTGTTAAGTTTTGATTCGTTTATTTCTCTTATCTTTTCAGTAATAATTTTTGTTGACTGATATTCCACCTCTCGTAAAACTCTTTCTTTGGCAAATGCTGTTAGTATTCGAGACATTACATTTATTAGATGATCTGTTAGATGTCCTTCTAATTTCAATGTGAAATCTCTGAAGCGATAAAATAAAATAATTAATATCTAAATAGTTCATTTTGCTCCTTTCTTTGAGATGTCAGTGATATTGTACGGTGAAAAATTATTTTTTTGACAAAAATAAGAAAGACAATTCTATATTGTTAGAACGTTAAACTTATTATTTGCATGTATATATTCTATGATTTAAAGAAAAAAAAATTTTTTCTCTGATATCTTCTATTTAACTAGAATAACTTTTTTAATTGATTCAATTTTAACTGAAGTTTTCATTTAAATGAAAAAGTAAATTAATGTTTATAATACTTACTCTACATCCATGAATTTGAGTAAGTCGAGTTTTAATTGATGCGTTTTAAGATCCATCGAACCAACAATCTTAACTTTTAGATTATGAAAACGTCCATGAAACAAACCCTTTCGTAAATACCCTAAAAATCTTATTGTGTAATCATAGGCCACCTTAACATAAAATTTTTTAATTCAAGTATCATGATAAAGTTGATAAATCTTTGAATTTAAATAAAAATTTCAAAATAATTTACTTATTTTATTAATAAAATAACGAACTTAAAAAACAATTGATTCTTACATCCACATTTTCCCATCCAAGATCGAAATCAAACTTCATCGTAAATATATTATATCGGAGAATTACATCTCCTGTGCGTCTTATTGTGACCATGTCTTGAACCCAGCCCTTTTGTAAATGAACTTTTCCAACGCCAAACTAAGTTTTAAGAAAGAGAAAGAGAGAGAGAGAGAGAGAGAGAGAGAGAGAGAGAGAGAGAATTTGAAATTAATAACAAAACTCAATTGAAATCTTCAGTTTTACACCATAAAATTAGTTAATAAATAATAATGAGATAAAATTATCAAATAAAATCTTACACAAATGCTGAGTGTTTAAATTCAATGATAATAATTATTATCAAATTATTGTAAATATAAATGAATTGAAATTCATCCAATAATGTATATTTAATCTCAAATTGAAATCTCAATAGCTGTCAATAAGATATTTTTCGTTTATAATATTGTCAAAAATATGAGAACAAGTATTAACATTTCATATACAATACTTTTCCGTTAAACAAATTTCAAATAGATAAATTAAACTAAATAAAATGTTTTATTTTACTATCACAAGTGAATTGTTATTCATAAATATGATTAAAAGTAAATTAACAACCTTCATATCTACTTAAGTTAGTTGAAAAAAAAGATTCAATAATTGATAACTTCACCTCTATATTGATAATCATGTTTACATAAATTAAATAATACCGGAAATGTGATTGGAAAAGTATAATCAGGCATAGCCATTGGATCCATTCCATTTGATAAAATAAATTCCCTTATTGAAGGTAGATTTTTATCAAAACTATCATTCATAATAACTTCAGCCATTTTTCTGTATTTCGTAGATTTTGTAAAATACAATCAATTATAAAATACAGTCACTGAATACATTTTATGCAAATTTAATCAGATATATTTATTTAATTGTAACTTACTTTTCATTTTGGTGTTGATTGGAAATTGACTCATGAGGATAAGCAGTAGTAAAAGTAATCAATATCAAAACAATAATAATACGAATCATGTTTACTTGAGAGGATGACCGTTCTTGACTATCTGCAAGCTAGTATGATGCTGCGAATCTTTATTAATAATCCTACAGTAATATCTAATCTGAAATCTTTGATAGATATTTTTTGATTGATACAATGATATCGATCGAACATCTCATTCAGTTTAAAAGTGCGTAAGAACAACAATGTGTATCATTAAATATTACATGTTGATTTCCGTGTTATCATGAATCTTTATAGATTAAACAACAAACAGAAATGTCATTAATTTTTATGATAAAATAATTATGGAGTTACTATCCCTCAATACCAACTACTTATGCTAAATAAATATTCATCTTGATAAATTTTAATTAATTTAATGAACATTTTTTGAATTTGATACTCTCTATTGTTTTCATCTGAAAATCTTTGAATAAATTTTTTTTTATTATTAAAAACATTGCCTTCCGGATTAACAGATATAAACAAATAGCTATTATCAGTTCATCGACATCAGAAATATTTCAATGAAATATTTATGCCTAATCAATTTTTTTTTAATAAACATTTGCTCTGCTGCTTTGAGGTCATTCTTGACCTTAGCTATTTAGGAAGTTTAATCAATTACTTTGAGCTCAAAAAAAAGTTATGCCTATTACTTGAGAGGGTCAGTGACTTCGTTTAGATCACTTTTATCTTCTCCAATGAGAACAAAATACTTTTGTGTGTTAAGAAATTTTACTTTCGATGACCTAGAGAAATGAGGTTGTCCTAGTTAATTTCACTTTCACTTTCGACCGAATGACCTACTGACCTGTCATCTTTTTTTGGAATAAGTAGCCTACTTTTCTCATTACATTCCATTGAAGCCCATATTCTCTCATTCACTTTATTTTGTTTTTATTTGAAATTATTATTTTCATTTTTATCTCACTTAGTATGAGATTTTTTTATTACTTTTATTCACGTATATCCATTCTAGATTATTTATTCTCTTTGTATCATAATTATTGATGTTGATATATTGAAAAGATATATGAGTAATATTTGTGCAGAAAATTTAAAATTATCAGTTTAACAACATATTTGTTGCATTGTATCATTTCGATTTATTGATTATAATATAATTTAAGTAGCATGAAAGATTATCGTTCAAATCATTGATAAAGAATAAGAGCATTGGACTGAATTTTTTTTTTAATGCGTTATTTAAACTTCTTTTCGGTAAAGTACCTAGCATTCATTTGAGTTGATAATATCATATAGGCGGCCTCTGACAAATCCTCTCGGAAACCGAGTATTCATAATTTTCAATCGGTAACTGTTTTTTTAAAAATAATTATCTTATGATTATTTAGTATATATACACTCGGCGTTATTAATGCCTGGTCCATCAAAAACTTTGATACCATCCGAGCAATTATCGATGGAGTAGTTTTTTTTTTAAACAGAGATTCAACATTTAAATTAATTTAGAAAGTTCATGATTAAATACTCTTTTAGATAGTCCCTACAACAATAGAATATGCCGACTAAAAAATTTCTAAACCTTAATTTAAATAATAACAAGAAAATTTAAGTAATGATAATTATAATTTAATTATAAACTGAAGTTTATAATTATTATAATTAAACGAACATTTGTAGTCATGACTATTAATGTGCACGATTATTTCATGATGACTGAAGAAGTAAGTTTAAATTATTATTATTATTTAAATTAAGGTTCAAAAATGTTTTAGTGGGGATAGTCTATTGTTGTAAGGACTATCTAAAAGAGTATTTAATCATGAACTTTCTAAATTAATTTAGATGTGGAATCTCTATTTGAAAAAAAAACTACTCCATCGATAATTGCTCGGATGGTATCACAGTTTTTGATGGACCAGGCATTAATGACGCCGAGTGTATACATATATAAATCAACAATTGGTAATGAACAATACAGCTATGTTGTCGATTATTAATTTAAACTAAAAATTATAGAAATAATAAATAATTTAATTTCATTATTAATTATTATCAATAATTTAAAAATTTTACACTTGATCATAAAATGAAAACTTATGAACAGTCATATAAGCTCATCATGATTGGAGAAGTTCTATTATTTGTATAACTTTTTACTGTAATTTACTGGTATCCGAGAACTCAATTTCATACCAAAGAATGAATGTTGTTCTACAACTACACTTACATTGTTTTGAAGTGATAATATATTCATTAATAATCATTTAACTACTCAGGAATATTCCCCGGATGGAATAGTTATTATTACATGAAATTTTCTCATTTTTAAATAAAAAAAAATATGTATATATACATACTTTTATAAATGATTTTTCAAATATCCATTTATTTTGGTTTACTTTCATATTTTTTCTAGAGTGAAATGTCTCTAAACTTTACAATGATCCTCTCTGCATGTCTATAAAAAAAGAGAAAACCTTTTTAATGTTTTTCGGGACAATCTTGTAGTAAGAAAATTACTTTTTTCATGGCCAACTAGTATTTACTGGATCATTCCTTATAAAATTTCCTGATTTTTTCAATAAAATACCATATGTGTTAAATGATACATAAAATTACAATTTTTTAATCAACTCGTCTAGTTTTTTGAACAAAAAAAATCCCATTGATAAAATAATATGACGCATAATGAAAAGAATTGTTTTGTATTTATTTACAATGTAAATATTAGATCATGTGGTGTAACTTATGTATCTAGTATACGTCAAGTACTTGGATATTGAACAACTAAATAGTTTATCACTATTCTTACCATCATCTCTTTATGCAAACCGGAATAATAACATTAAAGTGCATAAACAGTTTTGTTTGCTCGATTTGTCCTTCAAATGAATGATGTAATCATCAGCCAATAGAATAATCGGATTTGGTGGGTGTGCAAGTGAGATACGTCAGTGACGTGTTTTTGAAATGTCTCTTATAAATTGCAACATAATGAGCTGATGTAGTGTCAGGTCTGATTGGTCAATTTTTTTTACTTATGTTCCCCTTTCTTCACGTCAATGCTTTTACATTTACTCACTTCACTCTTCCATGATTTTTTTTCAAGGAAATCAAATGACGCAAGATACGAATTAAATTATTAAATTTTTTCATACACGATCAGATTTACACTAGAAATGACATTTTATCAAAATGATTTGTTTGAATATTGCAATGAAATACTGATAATAATTGTTGCAAAAGTATATTTTTATTTGGTCTGATGAATTTAAAATATTACTTCCTGTTAGTAGAAATTAATCAGAAACAGATAAAACAATAAAAAGCAATACTTAGTCATAATAAGTAGTGTTCAATTTTTATCTATATATACTTGTGGTCATTAGAGTGTGTTTAAACTCAGGATAATGACCTACGGTCTTATACAATGGATACCGAGATACTAAACTGTATCGTGTATAGTTCAGGCCACTGACCCGGTACTCAATAGCAATAACCAGCAAAAACACCACAGAAAGAATAGAATTCAAACATAGCTGATTATTGCAGCATTTTAGGTAAAATTAAAACAAACTTTTTTTTTATTTTTCATTAATTCATGATCAAGTATTGATGTAGAAAATGTCATTGTAGGAATCCATTAGAAATATTTATATTATGCATAAAGTAATTGACAGTATTTATTTGCTATAAAATAAAAAAATATTATAGCAGATAAAAATAATTATCTGACTAAGCATTTTTTTCTCAAACAAAAGTCATCTTCTCTGTAAAATTTCATAATAGTTAAAACAAAAAAGATAAGACAAAGTAATCAGTTTCCCTTTTAAGTTGCTGAAATAAATTTTAGTCAACTGCATAACCGGTTGCCCTACAGAGTAATCAGCTGCACGAGTGAAAGCGTCATTTCTGTAACGTAAAATACCAGTGAAGACAATCTATTCTGCACGAATACGTATTTATACTTATTTCATTATAAAGTTATGTTATTAGGAACATGTTTACGCTTTCCACATTGCGAATCATTTTATAAAATAAACAAAACAAACTTTTTTATCTTATACAAGATAAAAAAGATATAATAAAATATCACATTTCAAAAATTTTCAAAAACAATACAATCATTAATTAATTGTCATTTATTCATTTCTCTTTCTCTAAACTTTCTAATCATTTACATTATTTCAATATCTCAAACAATCAAATTGATTCATTTCCATTCATTCTCATCTATGCAATCTCATAAAAACTCAATGAAAATAATAAAAATCATAAATGATGCTAAAATAAATTATATTCTATTTATAGATAACGATAATAAACTATAATATTTTCCTTGCTTTCCATTTTATTTTATTATTTAAAAATATTAGAATCCATTATGAATAAAATATTGATTATTAACGAAATATTTGATAAATGTAATATAAAGATATTGTTTTAATTTCAATAATTTGTTAAAAATTAACTTTGGAAAAATATAGGTCAGTATAAAATATTGCAGGAAGATTTAAAAATATGTAAATAAAATACCGTTAGATTTGTTTCTTTATAATCAAAGACTTTTATATTCTATACATACAGAGTACAATATAATTTTTTATAACGAAGAAGGTACGACGATTGGTTTAAGTTATCTCAGTTAATCTTGTGGTGGTTAGCTCGAAAACACGACTCGTGGTTAACGAGCTTCGTACTGTGCAAAACAAGTATGAACAAGTCATAGTGGATATATGTATTCACATCACTTACATAGACATACATTTAAGTGTAGACATCACACATTGACACGGACAGCTGAGGTAGACTACTACACAACTGACTTACAAACTTAAACTCAGTTACGTTTAGACTCTTATTGAGAAAACACACGCTTTTATTCTCTCTTATGGTGTTAAATAATACGTGTTAACATTACTTTTTGAACCGTGAATATTAATTATTCTACAATTAATAATTTAATGTTGAATAAAAACTACTAATTTATGACCCGAATTAAAGGATTTATCGGCATTCTCTAATTAACAATTGTAAGTAATCCCTAGTGAATTTGATTCATCTTATTCTTGCATTTATTCATTCACTTGTTTACCGTTGTTACTGATAACAAATAATGCGTTATTAACAATAAGCTAACAATTTGAGTCAAATTATTTTCAATAAAGATTTTAATTGAATTTATCCATTTATTCTCATTTATTTAAACTATTTTAATTATTCCTTTATTTAATATTTCGTCAAAATATATATATATATATATATATATATTTTATATTTTTCTTTGTCATCCTTATATTTGAAAAAAAAAAAAAAACAAAATCATTGTTAATATAATCAATAATATGACTCTGATTGAAGTTTTATTGCAAAAGAAATAAAAAGTTGTAAGAAATATGTCATGAAATCCAGCTTTGTCTCGCGTGATCAAAATGAATTTTAGTATTTGTCACGAAGTCCACGTGAATTCTCCTCCTTCAAATCCTCCAACTGTAACTTTCTACTCCATTCCAACCATTACTGGGTTAAGAAACGGATAATAAAGTAGAAAAAGACTGTTACTCAGTACTCGTTACTTCATTATTATTTGTAATCATTATATATTTATGAGAAATTCATTTACATTTGTTGAAATTTTCCTTTTGTGGCAAATAAATAATGATTAACGTTTGTAAATTAATTTTTTTAGATAAATATTTGCTGTAGATTATCATGAGAATTTTTTTTAGAGGAATTATACTATAAGATTAGAATAAATTTACTAGAAGATTCTAAGAAAATCGCTACGACCACGTTTAAGAAGATTGGACAAGGGCCAAAGGTCGAGTAATCGATTTTTATCATTAAATGAACCGTAAAATTTAATTATTTATTTGAATTTATTAAAATATTTTTTTTTGTGACTGTAACAAATTTATTAGGTTTTTTATTTAACTTTGAACATTGATGAAAGACTTGTTATAAATAATTCATTTTTAAATATATAATATATGATAAAGTGATTCAGAATTTGTTTACACACTAGACGTAGAGTAAACATTTTTTTCATATTCTTTTGTTATTGATAGCCAAAGTGAGTGATAACATATGTTAATAAAAAATATTTCTTATTCATATTATTGAGAAAGTTTATCATTTAATAGGTCGATTATTTTTGACAAATTTAAAAGAAAATTTTAAAAGAAGACAATTAAATTATTATACTGATATACAGTATTGTTGTTCAGTTTATATTTTAAATATCAGAAGCTTAATGGTTGGACAATGTGTAATTTTTTTTCTTAATTTTTTTTTTCAAGAAAAAGAAAATTTAAGAATTTTTCAAATGTTTAATAACATAATTAATTTAATTCCTTGAAGAATTACATTGGTATTGAATAATAATGAAGAGTACAACCAATATCTTTTTTATATTTAGAAATCGTTGAATTTCTATAATTAATTTTACTGAGTAATTTAGATAAAAATATTTTTTTCATTGACGCTGTTGTTTTTATTTAAAAATAAATCTTTGACAAGTTTGAAAAATTCGATAACAAGTAATAACGAAATCTAACCATTTTTCTATATTACGTTTAGTAAACAAGATTATAATTAATTTTAGTGTAAGCTGAAAAATAAATTATGCAATTATTGTTTTTATGATTTAAATTGTCGCGTGGTCTTCTTGGCTGCAGTAAAAGTACCGAGTGTCTTCATTTATTTTCCCTGCAGATCGATGAGTGTACATAAATACATATTAGTTGAAGTACACTTCCTGTTTGGCTGGATATGTGATAGAACTTTGGCAAAATGCCGAGACGTGGCTAATCAATGCTTTGACTTTACTCAATTTAATCACTGGTTAAGATAAAGAATTATTAATTTTTCATGTCTTTTTGTCAATATAAGTGATTCAAGAAAAATTTTTTAAAAACAATAAAGGCAATATTTTAATCAATTAATAATATAAATTTTGTCTAAATGTGATTTTTTTATAAATTGTAAAATTTCTTGTATTTTGGCCAAATATTTCACAAGTTCAAGGTATAGAAAGACATGGAATTTGTAAATTCTGCCAAAAAATGTCTAATTTCCGTAAAAACAAGATGATATTATTGTTAGGAATTCACTTGACTAATTTCTGAGAAAATAAATTTATGTAATGCCAAATACAATGTTTAATTATCTTTAATATAATTGTTATAATAAAACAACATGTTTTAGCAATAATTATTTTTTATACTTATGCAATCAAGTTTAACTAAAATTATTTTTCATTTCTATTTCTATATTTTTAAATCAACTTGGACTAATGGTATGCATAAAATTAACAGAAACTCAACAAAACATGTTTTTAAGTGAATTTACATAAACTGCCAACAATAATTTAACAATTGTACTTTGTATTTTTAAATTAAAAAAACATACATTTATAAATGTTTATTCAATTATTTTCAATATAGCAAACAATTTTTATGTAACATTTAATAATTTTATTTGTTTTCTATCAACTTGTTGATACTTGAAATTTTTAATTGTTATAATAAATCAATTTTTTTTAAATCTGGATTTTCCTTCGAATTAGTGATGTCATTAAATCTGTCAGCGACGCGTTGTCTAATAGGATGACCGACGGGCAACGTGACTTTTCAAATAATGTGATATTACATATGCTAATCCATATCATAATTAAATCCAAGTCACTTAAATTTAATCTCTTAAATAAATATCCTTCAATACTATCACTCAACAGTTGATTAATAAAATACTGAAAAAGTCAATTAATTAAATAATGCTCTTAATTGTAAAAATTGTTTTTACCAAAATGAAATAATAATAGATAAAATTTTATATTTTGTTTTAGGATAAAAAATTGGCTGCTGCAAAATACGCGCCACGTGCCGTCATCGATCACGTGGTAGCGCCATTTTATCGACCGTCTGGCAGGCCCGGGTTCACTCATTGGATTTCTTTATACCACGTGATCACTTCCTGACATTTGTCCCCACTCCAGGAATGTGGTGAGTTGTGTGTGTCGGGGAAGTGAGGAGAAAGCCCAGGCAAAACCCTTGAAGTTCGACAAGCTTCTAGGAACAAAGGATTTCTGATGTAAAACATCTTGAATGTTGAAATATTCAATCTGATAAGGACCAACAGTATTTACAAGATTATTTTATTAGAATCAAGACATTTTTTTGTTTTATATTAGTGATATCGAATCCTGTGATTTATTTATTTGTTAAAATTACGACAAATTTGACAGTTCACCACCAGAGAATTGATTAAGAAGTGTGCAAAAAAATTTTGAATAACGTTCAAGTGACGAATCAATAGCTTGGTCAAGTGAAATAGACTTTAAACTTGAAATTAAAATAAGTTTCAAGAATAATCTCACCCACATATCAATATGATTAGATGAAGTATAAAAAATAATTAATAATAATTACGACTGTAGTTATCAGAACAGTTTGATTGATTGATTGATTTGCTTTAAAAAGAAAAAGATAAGATTGAGCTTCGTACTACAATAAAGTTATAAGAATAATTTCAAAAGATTCTTTCAAAGTAGTAGGATATAAAATGTACAGTATGAACTACATTGGAAAGTTCATCAGCAATTTTCGTGACTTTTACAAAGAAATTAATGCTGCTACCTTAACTGGAGCTATCGATGTCATTGTTGTGGAGCAAGAAGATGGGTCTTTCACTTGCTCACCATTTCATGTTAGATTTGGTAAGCTGGGAGTTCTCAGATCCCGAGAAAAAGTGGTAAGAAACTCATATTTCTGTTAAATAAAAATAATTGTCGATTCATTAAATTTGTATCAAAATATTTAGGTTGACATTGAAATAAATGGAGAACCTGCGCCTATTCACATGAAACTTGGAGATGCTGGGGAAGCATTTTTTGTTGAGGAAGTATCTTCCAGTGGATCAGAAAATGAGCCAGAAATACCTCCACATCTAGCCTGCTCACCAATTCCAGATGAGAGCTGTTTTCCTCCTCCTCCAAGGTATAAGAACATTTTATTATTAAATACAGACTTGTCTTTTTTTTTGTTACAACTGTCCAATCATTTTTTTCAAAAATCTCTTAATTTATAGCATGCATAATCGTTGCAGATTTCATCTACTTTCTGAACTACCTCAAGAACAGCATGAAAAAATTCTTAGAGATTCAGTACTATCGATTGAACGTGAAAAACTTGAACAAATGTCCTCTTTACCAGCTGATCAACGTGAAAAGTTCCTTAATGAGCAATTTTCGGACCTTCCTACTGAACATCGTGAAAAATTGCTTCATATTGCATCAATGACTTCTGAAGAGCGGAATAAAGTATTTCAGGAAAGTTTAAATGCCATGTCTACTCAACAAAAACAACAAATGATAAGAGATGAATATTCAGCATTAAAAATAGAAGATAGAGAAAGATTATTTAAAGAAAATTTTCCGGAACTCCCAGCTGAACAAAGAGCAAAGTTCGAAAAAGCCCTATTGAATGATTGGAAAAATAATGATGATCAGCTGCAGGATAATAACAAACTCACAACACAAGTTGAAGAAGAAATTTTTGATATGGATAATATCAATGAAGAAGAATCAAAGCCGACTGTTTCCACACCAAAATCTTTCGTTGCGGTTACCTCTTCAGAAAGAATTAGAAAAATCAGTATTGTTACTAACAATTTTATACCTATTGCTGATAATTTTCCACCAGGTGTTGAAGATATATCACGAGTTGAAGCTAATGTAGAAAAAAAATCCTTGGGTGAAGAAAACACTGAAGAAGTTAAGGTTTCATCTTCTTCTAAAAGAAAACGACGAAAGAGAAGTATGAAAAAGAAAGGAGCTCAAAGAAAAAGTAGTAATGGAAGCAGTAGTCAAACAGAAGTTAGTGAGACTGAAGTTCCACATATTGAAGAACAATTAAGTGAACCTGTAAGTATTAAAATGAAAATATTAAATCATAACAAAGTTAAAAACAATAGTGATTTTTTCAAAGACATCAAAAGAAGTGAACCAAATTAAAGAAGGAGAAGTTAAAAAAATATCAGAGACTATAAAAGCTCCACCACAAACGGACTTCCACTTCTTCAGTGACACTGAAATTACCAAGTAAGGAGAAAATGTAGTCATTAATTAGTAATTAGTAGCAATCATTCAATTACACAGCAGTCTATAAACATATTCATTTTTTTATTTTAAACATTAGACACTTTAGTGTTTGTGGTTATAACATTGATTGTTTATTTTCACCCTAAAAGGAACCGGGATTCCAGGCCTTGTTCTCCTGTTCAATCGGATACAGAGTTTGAAATGAGAAAGATCGAACAAGATAGTAAAGAGATGAATGAAGATAAACGCCATCGACAGAGTTGGAGGTGGGGTGAATTGCCAAGTCCACCGCCGGAAGTTACTCATACTCTTAATACTTCTACTGCTGTCGTCCCAACCAATGATCGTAAGTGATGATTTTAACACTTATGATGACATAAATTAATTGTCTACATATAGAAAAAGAATTATGGCAACTGTACCACAAAAGTTAAAGTAATATTATTCGTTTATAATAAATATTTGTCAGTATATTAATTTTATTAACAAATTACTACTATCAATAATTAATGTATGAATTAACAAAACTGTAATAATACAAATCATAAATTGCTTATCATATTTTCTACTAACCATTATGCTAACTGCTTTTCCGATGGCAGAAGAGGCACAGCGTTCTATGCTCAGTGGTATGTTCTCCTTCATGAAGAAGACATCTCGCGTTAGACACAATCCAGAATCAGAAGGCATTTACTTGAGCGACTTAAATGCTGATGAATTGGATCCTGAGGTAGCGGCTCTTTATTTCCCTTCTTCTCATCGCGGATCAACTGTCGCTAAAGGTATAAATTTTCTCATGGGCTTTGCTCGCTTTTTTTGGTGGTTTTTCTAAGATAGTTAATGCTATTATAAACTTGAACTAATTCATTATGTATTCATTACATTACCTTCCATGCTTAGAGTGCACTAACAATGAACAATTTTGTGTGACAGTAGCTAATAATAAAATTATTCTCCTGATTATTGTTTATGAATTATTAAAAAGGATCTTATTGTTCTATAAATTTTGTGGAAAAAGTTGAGCTGTATTTTTCTTATCAAAGTTGTCAAAAACTTATACTACTAACTTCAAAATTATTGAATAAATATCTTAGTGAATAATTTTTACAATTATAAAAAAAAGGTTAAATAATCTTGACATTGAATAATACATTTTTTATAAAAAAAAACTGTTGCTTGAAAATTAATGAACTGGCAATTTTGGTTGCTATTTAAATCAATAAATAGAGTGACAGGACCTTTGATGTATCTATTGCAGAAAGAAAAACAGTGGATGAAGAAGATACTGAATCAGGAAATGGTCCAAGCTTACCCCAAAGCCCCAATAGTGTAGAAGGTGCTATAGGAGGCCCAAAGTCCTTAGATAGTGATTTTGAAGAATCAAAACAATCACTATTTGATAATAGGTTTGATATAAGCTTATCATTATGTGGTGGTTTAGATTCAGAGAATGGCCCAAATCAAGAATCTTTTCAACAAAATTTACTCCAATTTGAAGATATTTGTAATGATGTAAAACTATTTGAAAACCCTAATTTGGTAGTTAAAATCAATGGGAAATTTTATAATTGGGCCACCGCGTGTCCTATCATTGTCACATTAGCTGCTTTTCAACGGTGTTTACCTCAGCCTACTATTGAAAACTTATATCTGCAATACATTTCATTGCCAATTCACCAAGATAAAAAAGAACCAAATGTAACAAACAAAACTAATGAGACAAGAAGTGGAGGCTACAGTTCATGGTTTTCGTGGCGACGTTCATCATCCCAGCCAACTAAAAAAGACGAAGAATCTGGTCATGATAAGTCAGTAGAACAAACAACTGATATTTCCAATGAACTCAAAGAATCTGATAATGTAGATGATAGTAACATTTCATCTATTCCGTAAGCAAATTTTTTTATTTTACGGTCTAGTTGGACTTATAATTATCAGTATTTTAAATATTTTTTATTTGTTCTTTAGGCAAGAAAAAAGTAAAGAAGAGCTGATAATTAAAGTTGAAGAATCTGACAATAGTCTTTCTAGTACTCCAGAGGAGACTTCAGTACTGCCAAAAGAGTCAAAGATCGAAGAGAAAGAAGGTGAAGGATATAGCGGAAGCGAAGATTCCGATAGTAATCAAAATGAACCACAAGGAGTAAAAATTCCTAAAGAGCGACGTTCGTATTATGAATCTAGTGAAAAATATCGTAAAACTTTACGACTTACGTCTGAACAAATTGCTAGCCTAAATTTGAAAGAAGGACTCAATGATGTAGTTTTCAGTGTCACCACAGCTTACCAAGGTACCTCTCGGTGCATGTGTTGTATCTATCGATGGCGATATGATGATAAAATAGTTATATCTGATATTGATGGTACTATTACTAAGTCTGATGTGCTTGGACACATTCTTCCAATTGTCGGAAAAGATTGGGCCCAGTCTGGTGTTGCTCAATTATTTACTAAAATTCAAAAAAATGGATACAAACTGTTGTATTTATCAGCACGAGCAATTGGTCAATCACGAGGTACCAGAGATTATTTGAGAAGCATTAAGCAGGACGATATCAGTCTTCCTGACGGACCTGTGCTTTTGAATCCTACCAGTTTAATATCAGCATTCCACCGAGAAGTTATTGAAAAAAAGCCTGAGAGATTTAAGATTTCCTGTCTCCGTGACATTATGGCACTCTTTCCTGAAAATAGTCGTCCATTCTATGCTGGCTATGGAAATCGAGTCAATGTAAATATTCATTTCTTTCAATATTAATAAATAATTTTGTTAAAAAATATAATAACAAATTTTTTTTTAGGATGTTTGGGCTTATACTGCAGTAGGCATTCCAATTCATCGAATCTTTACTATAAATCATCGTGGAGAACTGAAGCATGAGTTAACGCAGACATTCCAATCTTCGTAAGTAAAATGAATTTTATTTCTTAGAATTAAATCTTGTAAAAATGAAGTCACTAACACTTTACTAATATTAAATATTAAATGTACGCATGTGATTTTTTTCTGATTTAAAGGAGAATCTTCAAGAGTAATTAATTATGTAACTAAATTTTAGTTAGAAAACTGAATCTATCTTAAAAATAATATCCAACTCAAGACTCTAATAACTTCAAGAACAAAACGGAATAAAATCCGATGAGTAATATAAAAGCTTATGAATATAATTTTGATAGGGTTTTATAGGGAATATTTATATGATTACAGCTATGCGTGTCAGAGCAATATCGTCAATGACTTGTTCCCGCCTCTACCAAGAGCAACAGCTCACTGATGAACACACAACCATAGCCAATAAATATTTATAATTATTAAAGTATACAAGATCACAGGCCTACATGGTTATTTTTCTTTTATATTTATGATTTTTCTATCATATGTCATCACTTCATCATAGAAATTATGCAGAAAATTCATCTTCTATTGTAGGCCTGTGGTATTTGAAGAGCTCTTCAATTTCGAAACGTTAAACTAAATATTGTTTAACATTAATCGCTATCATTTATTAAAAAATATTTTATTTATTTTTAATTTATTTGCGAACAAATGAATCAAATTGCAATTTATTCATGTAGTTTTATTATTTGTACGGTTTTTGGTTGTGCATCTATTTCTTCTTATATTTTATAGGGTAAGCACTTGTCACATTCGATTCTTTACCAATGCTTTTAAATTCCCGTTTGATTAAGTTTTTGCGAATGTCATCATCATCATAATTTACTTTGTTTATTCTATTAATAAGAATAATTTAATTCCATTATAATACATACAGAAAAAATTCTCTACATATTACATTGTAAGGTCCTATTACATAAAAATCATTGGCGATGGGTTTGGTTTGTAAATTTTTCAGGAGCTTGATTCATTAACACATTATTTTTCACAGTGAAGACTCAAAAACAATACTTGAAATAATTTGTAAACTCTAAAAATTTTTTAATTAATCGTAGTGAGCAAAGTTTCTGAATTAAGAAATCAATTATCAATAAAAGAGATGAATTACAAGAATAATTTGGTTCTTAGTTCATATTATTGATGATTGAGCATTTATAATTAATTTAGTTACATAAAAAAATAATTATTCATTATTATAATTATTCATATGTCTAACGAATTGTAAATAATCAAGCTTCAAGCTTTAATGAATAATTCAAAAATTTTTAAAACTATTTAATATACGTTGAAAAACTGAATATTTTTAAACAGCATTTTCATCACAATCATTTTTCAAAAAAAAAAAAAATCAATTTCTGTATATAAAATACAAAAAAGAGAAAGATAATACTATTTTAAATTTACAGATATTTGGATATGAGTTTCATCGTCGATCACCTATTCCCAGCAGCGAGAGAATATGCATCTGATGAATTCAGCTCCTTTTCCTTTTGGAGGGAGCCTTTACGCGAAATACCACGTCTCGATCAGCTTTGTGAAAGACAACTGATTTAATAAATAATCGCTTAAGTGTTCAAAAATAATGACACAACGTATAGTTGCTTACACAAACCTCTTTTTTACACTCCAATTTATGCAATATTACGCTAAAGCTTAATGAAATCAAGCAATCTTTTGGTAGATATGTCAATGGAAAAATTTACCTTCGTACTTATTTACTGCTTTATATATTTATGTAGTTAGCTCATAGTACGCAGGAAATTATAAAAAAAGCCAAGCTTTGTCTAATAACGATTATATATTCTCAATTATAGAAAACATTCCGAGTTGAATGATGAATTATTTTGTTACATGGTGACAAATGTTACTAAAATTTTTTTAGATTTAAATTTGAAAAATATAATAATTATATGAGCTATTCTAAACAATTCGATGATAATTGATTTTATAATGATACAAGAAAGAAAAAAATAATGTTACCAAAAGCCTAAAATTTTTTGTAGGCAAACAGCTAACAAATTGATTACAATATTTGGATAAATAATTTTCAGGGGATTTCTAGTCTTGAATGAATACACTAACATAAACATAAATGACAAGCTTTAAAACTCTCATTATGTCGTAACTTAATATCGAAAATGTGGTTTACAATAATTGATGTTGTTTAAGTAATTGAAAAAAATGTAGTAAATGTTTCATTTCTAAAAGCTTTCATTATAGTATAACTAGTTTATTTTTCTACATATAAATTTATTTAGCTTACAATGAATGAGTAATTTAGTTAATGAGTTAATTAAAATTTAATTTACATTATTAAATTACTTAATTAGTCAAACAATTTGAGACCAGATAATAATGATTGTAAATTGTGATACTTCCATAGGAGAGTAAAATTTTTCTACCTAAAATTTATTCAAAAATTTGATTAGAGTATATTTTTTTTCTTTTACATTTTTTATTCCATTATTTTGCAATTGTACCTCTTAATAATTAATTTCAAATGATTGCCAGGAGTACAATTACAAAAAGTCTGAATTGTTTATAATTAATTTATTTATATATAATAGATTTATTTATATATAATAGATTTTAATATTTTCTGAAGGTAGCTAAAATACATTGTTATGTTAGATATGAGAAACTTTCGTATGTTAATTTTTTACATAGAATAATACTCAGGATCAGACGAAATTTAATGAAAAAAATCAAAGTTGCTGTGCAACATCATAATAACCAAAGACTTTGATTTGGACTCCATATGAAATGGATTGATAGTAAAAAAAAAAAAACATTGTGATTTTTTTTTTTTTAAACAATGCATTGAAATGCAAAGATCCCTGAGTTATAAGAAAATGTATTCTAAAATCAATTTAGTTAATTTAAAAATAGGATATTATTTTCAAATATAAATAAATATATTTTTTAATTTGAATTCATTTTTTAAGTGAATATTGTCAGGAAAATAATAAGTAACAGGAGAATGACAATTTACCTATATAATGAATTGATCTCAGCTTTACCACGCTTTCGACAATTATAAATCAAATAATAGGCGTAAGAAGCTTCTATGGTCAACTTAAATAAGGTGATAGACATTTGTAATATTTATAAAAAAATTTGTTATTGTCCAAACATTTTCTTTGACTATCCTTGAAATATGTTCAAGCTTCAAGTATTAAATGTAATGTCTTGTAGCCAAAATACATTGTAAAGTATAACGAGAATTGTTTACATTGTTTTTTCATCCTGAATATTAGTTATTGAATTATTTTTTATTCACTTTCGATAATCGTTTTTTCCTCCGAGATTGATCTCTGATAATTTCTTCAGCATCAGATATTTCTAATGAATCGATAGAAGTTGCACTTCGTTCTCTCTCCACATTAAATAATGATGCAACCTTTGGATTTCTCATTGAACGAGTGGGAATATCTGAAAACCAGCTATAAGCAGACTAAAAACAATTGTCAATTTAATGAAATGATTTTGAAAATGATGTTTTTTTCTACTTAAATATACTTTACCCAAAGTATAATAAATATTGCAATAACTGTAAAAGCATATTGAAAAGCCATATTATTTTTTAAAATTTATTAATAAATTTAAACCAATATTTGTTACATAAACTTATGATGTCGCAATCTCGATGGTTACATAGCATCAAGTAATAACTTCATTTGTTATGAATGGTGTTCAAATTTTTTATTCTTCAAAGACAGGTATAAATTGTCGAATAATAAATTCGATATGTAGATTCAATCATTCGCAAAATTATTTTTGAATTTACTTCTAATAACTAAATATCTAATTTTATCTTCATAAATTATACTATTTATTATTAGTGAAATTAATAAAAAATATGGTTATATTTAATATTTTAAATTGATTAGAATAAATGTAGAATGAGAAAATCCCATAAAATAATGTTTAACAATTATTTACAAAAGAATCTTTATTATAAACTTCTTTACTATTTATGTCTCATTTGTATTCTCTGTTTCCATTTCTTCTTGATGATTTTCCCCAGAGTCTGTGGTTTTTAGACGTTTATATCCTTTCTTCTTAGAATAAAATCCTAGGGGAATTAGTCTGAATTCTGCCAGCATATTTCCAAAAAGTTTCTTAAAAATATACAAAAAGATTAAAATAGATTGTATCCATATTTTAATGAGTGCATAATTTATATGATTTGAATTAATTCATAAAAAAAAAAAAAAACTCACGAGGATTCTAGCTTGTTCCGGAGTTAGTGGTTGACCTTTTTTACAAGCTTCAAATTCTTTAACCAGTGTAACAACTCCTTTTTGAAGAGTTGTTGGCATTCCCAATTGTCTCAAATGAGGTTCGATTGCATGTGAAAATTCAGGAAGAGGTCCCTCAGGTAATACTATTGTTTCTGGAGCAATAAATCCTGCTCTTGCATATTCTTCTTCTGCATAATTGTTCATCCATTCCAATACTTTATTTTTTAGTTTATTTGTAAATAATAATCCACATTGTCCTTTTAAAGACTTAGCTAATTTATGTATACCATCAGCGACTTCTGTTTCGGGAGTAAGGCCCATTGCTAGAGCTATTATTTTATTTTTCCCAAAGAAAAATCTACTATCTGCTTTCCAATCTTCTCTTAAATCTTTAAGTTTGTTATTTCGCATATTTCGGACAGAAAATAAAAATATTCGTTCATACTTTTCTATACAGCTTCGAACATCATTGACAATATGTTGTTTTAGTGCTTTACCTTTTTTACTTGTTTTTGTTAGAGATACTGTAAAAAAAAAAAAAATAAACATTATTTATTAAATTGAAAAATATTTTAAAGATTATTTGTATCAGGCTTAATAGAGGTTAGGTTATGTTTATTTAGTTTAGAATTAAATCTATTTGACTTAATAAACGCGTAATTGAAATTTCATACTTACTTTTTTTATCTCGCTTTGATTTAGGCATTGTGAATTGACAATATTGTTTGAAATATTATAAATATAATACTAATTGTATTGATTCTAATGAAAACACGTGTTTTACTTACTACTATAATAAAAAAACACGTTTAATCTTCCCAAAGCTTATCTACCGTACCGGACATAAACGTTGTTCAATTTTTGAAAGGTTATACATGTGATTTTCCTATACCGTCCTATAGAAAATTACACAGCATTTACGTCCGGTACTGTACAGTCGATAGATAAATGAAGAGTCCCTCAAGACAGTATGGCAAGACGACGCCATATTGCTCGATTTCTGCCTAAAGTCCTATAATAACTTAAGGGACTTTAATCCTGCCTTACCCTATCTTGCCAGACTCTATTTTAAGGAACTTTAGATAAATCGATTGATTGGCGCCACCTAGAATTTAAAATATTGTCGTGGGCACTGTCTTATTCCTAAAATAGTTAGTACAATACACAGGTGGCGTTTTAATTATCATAACAAATTATTATCAGCGGAATAGCAATTAATAATTCAGTCTAAACATAGTGAAAATAATATGAAAAAAATAGTTTATAAAATTATTTAGATAATCTTGAATAATTCGTATATTTAATCTGTATAATAAATTGAAAACATTGTCAATGTTGAGTTATTCAAATATCCGGAAGTTCGTCAAGTAATAAGCGCAGTCAAATATGGCTGCTTCCGTTAGTCACAAGCAGTGCACTGTGTGAAACCGTAGTGAACGGGAGCCGTTGTAAAACACTAAAGCCTCGATTTTCTAGGCCGTTTATTGCACTCGAATAGGTGAGTCATGACACATTTCAATTGCATCGTGATTTTATTCATAAAATGTGTTCATTTTCATAATTGTTTCAACAATAATTTCACTTTAAATTAGCCCTGAGTTATTTCAACACATCAGAGTCGTGTGAACCCCGTAGCTGTTGAATCCATCAATGTATTATATCCTCACAATCTTTTAACTTTAGGCCGCTTTTATTCATTCGAAAATTCCCAAGAAATTAGATCAATAATTCAAATGATATTGAATATGTTGTGGTAAAAATTTACTTAATCTGTAAAATCATAAATAATCTTCATGTCATTTTTTTCATTCCGGTCATGCGATATGAATGCGGCTTAGTCGTACTCGAATGACGCACGCTACGGTAGACAGAGAAAAAGATATATTTTATTCTCCTTTCATTTGCGGTTGCCATCTTGTTTTATTCACCGGCAAATTCCACGACTTTCTCGTGCTATTATGGGAAAATCGTTGACGCCAATGACATACCGTGAAATGTTGGAAAAAAATGATATAAAATCGAACCCAAGCGTACGGAGTATACAAGGCGTCATTGTCAGCTAATGGGGATTGCTATAAGTGCATTCTAAAATGACGTTCTTAGAAAAGAACGAGAGAGGAGTGCCCTTGCGCCATGTTGCTTAGTTACCGGCTATGATTAATTTTTTAATGCATTTTTTGTTTTACTGTTGGTTATATTAATAATAATGATAGATAAATTTATTTGTGGATTATGAACATTAATGGGATTTATATATTGATTTAAATTTTTTGCTACTAACTTAAACTGTTATCAGTTAACGATTTATTAAGTCAACCTACTTTATACTTACTGCGCATTTGTACTTCCAACTTTTCATGTAAGGTTCATAGAATCATTCAATGTCGAAATATGTCATTTTATTCATATAACTAGTGAAATCTGAGCAATCATGTAAAGAATATCATTATTTATCATTGTTTTGTTGTTTATTAGTAAATTTTGTTTCTAATTATCTGAGAATTTCGATTTGTTTTTGGGATTTTTTATTGGATGGCTATGTCACTTGGTCAATTTATCGATTCTAAAACGATTATTCTTAATTATTGTTAATTTTAAAGTTTTAAAATAATAATTGTGAAATGAATATACGTTTTTTTTATATTTTGTATTTATAAGATTAATCAAAAACTCATTGGGAATTACTTAATCAACGAAAATTTTTTTGATCAATTTTTATCGAATGTCTGTAAATGATTACTATCGAATGATTATATAAAAATTACGCCATGTGTGTGACTGATTTATTGTCATTTAGACGTGCCGGATGAACATGCAATAATGTGCACTGAATTCTTAAATAAAATTTCCTCAAGCGTTAAATTACTAATTACCAAAGGAAATAACAAATATGTCGAGGAACAATATTGTTGCTCTAGTATTTCGTTAATTATACAATAAAGTAATTAAAAAAAACGTAAATTAATGGAAGAGAAAAATTGATAATTTATGCTAGTTTTTCTTCTTATTTCATAGGAGTCTTTTAGATGTTTATAATTTTCATCTTGACTTCTCAGCATGTAAAGAATTTGACAAGCTAATGTCCATTCATTCTAATCGGGGAGCTGTATTCTTTGATAAACGAATCAATGTATGTTCGATAAAAGTGTATAATCGGGCCAAGGGTCTTGAATATTCATATAATGTTTAGTATACAATCAGAAGGTTGTAATAATTCCTTATCGTTCATTAACTAAATTGTTACTCGAATAATAAACACAAAAATGATATATTTATAAACTAGTAATTCTGATTGAACAGGTGGGTAAGGACTACTTTTACGTCCATGTTATTAAACTAATGAACAAACATATTTTATGATGAGTGATTTTGTTAAAAAAAATCATTTAGCAAATAATTATTTGTTTATTTTTTATATTTTAAATAGAAATGAAAGCATTTGAAATATTTCTAGCTGCAGAAAACTTATTTTCTTTTCAGTTCATTTGAGAATATTTATTAAAGTCTCTCGAAATTAAATATATGAAGTATTCTTAGCTCGTGAATATTTTTTCTATTTTTTGTTTGAAGAATCAATATTCAAGTCAAGAAGCAGCATCTCCACCTACTTCTTTCACTTCACTTAGTCCTTTAGCCTCGACAAATTTTCAACCCTCGTGTCCTTGGTTGATCGTTCTTTTCTTGAATCTATCACCCCAATTAATATATCTAATTAAGGAACAATATGCGTCATCAAAACATTGATTTTATTTTCATACTTTGATCATTAATTTCTTTTTTCTTTATATATATATATATATATATATATTATTGTTTATTTATTAATCTGTATGTTTCATATATTTTTTTTTTATAAATGTCATGGTGAGATCTCGTTATTCTTCTTTCAATAGTTATTTCAACATTTTTATCCCTTCAAGGAGCCCTTTTGTGACACTCGCTACTCTTCAATGATCATGATAGTTTCGACCCACTTCTGGGTGTTTCATGCTTATAAAAAGTACGGGAAACGACTACACGATTAACTAACACGTGACATGATAATGATTGCTAAGTTTACTTCTCTAATTTTTTCATTTTGTGGTAAAAATTACTACCACTTGTTTTCTCTTTTCAATTAAAAATTTTTGAATAACTCAAACAATACATTGTAACACCATCATGCAATGCATTGCAATCGATTAATTGATCGTGGTTGTATTACCATTAAATTTTAAGCTGTCAAAGTGTGAAGAAAATATTATTGATGTGTTGAAAATAAATGTACTTGTTCCGTACATAAAAACAATGTGATTTTAAAATTAAAATTTTACTGAGAATAGAAAACAAAAATTCAACTGGGAAGTTAATAGAGAGTTCGCTTTGATGGAAAGACATTTAAGAATTCTTTATATAAATAATTGATGTTTATCCTGAATTTTGATACAGGTTTCCATTTCGTGATTTTTGTTTTATAGAGTTTCTATTTTTCTTTGCTTTCATTTCTCACTTCTTGTAACCTATTGCCAACATAAAAGTACATCAGTTCGTTGACAAGTTCACTTCTTTTCACCGATTCTTTTTCATTTTATTTTCATTTTTCATGAGCCAATCATCATTCTTTATTTATTTCTAAACATTATGCTCATAAATTTTACTATAAAATTACTATTTTAATCGGTGAAAAATTTATCAAGTATTTCTTTTATACATATAGTATTATTTTCTGTTTACACGAATAGCGTTGGGTACAACAATTTCAATGATAAATAAGTTTTTTTTTTGTTTTACAACTTTTTTATTTAGTTGTAAAATCTTTTGATTTTTATCTTAATTCTTTTTTTTATGAGTTACAAAAATTGCTACAATAATTTAATGGAAAACAAAATATTATGTTTGTTAATATGAATTATTAATGCTTCATAAAATACAATGTAGTACAATATTTTAAATTTATTGTATATTTTTATTTATTCATTTATGTACTTATATTCATTGTTGTAAACGTGCAAAAAATCTTTTCAATATTATTTTGGAGTTATAATAAAAAATTATCATTATTGTAATAGAAAATAATTCAAAGTTAAGACTAATTTTATTTCGAAGTAATATCTAAAAATATTTTTCATATCTCAGAAAACAATATGTATATTTTCTATTGTAATCAAAAAGTTTTCAATTATTTTGAGAGTCTTATAATTCACAAAAATCTTCTAACATAAAAACACAAAAATTTTCTAACAGTTACCTTTAGGTTGTGCAACTTATTTTTTTGTTTATTCCAGTGATAGTTTTTTTATTTACAGTCAAATTCCTTTAATTAATAGTTTAGTCTATATGTTATTAACACAGGACCCCGTAATTTTTATTCTTAGAAAAATTGACCGAAGGCGTAACAATTAGAGAAATTTGACTGTATTTTTATTTGTTAAGTGACGTTTTTTTTTAAGTAAAATAATAAAATTAAAGGAGTGTCAAGTGAAAATTAAACCTAAAAGTTCTGGACACACGATACTGCACCTCAGAGGTTCTCATTATCCACCATCTATTTCCGTCTCTCTTTTTTCCTTACATTTCACAATTGACCGCGTGACTCAGTCATGACGATGAATGTATAGTAGTAGTAGTGTTGTGTTCACAAACACGTCATCTTTTATACACGAGATCCACGCCCCTTTCTAGATCCTCTATCTCTCATGTCTGCTACACTAATGTGGCTTCTAGTTATTGTCCCCTATTGGAGATAAAGCTTGAAATACATCCTGACACTTCTTCAAATTATCATTTTTACATTTATTTGCTTAGTAAGTGTACCCTCAATGCACCATACGATCACAGAGTACCAGATAATTCAAGTGACTATATATTTCAAGCGGATTTCTATCTTATAAGCTTGACATCACTTGCTATTCCAAGCTTAGTGACGCACAAGTTCACTTACGTCGACTTCTTGTCGACTTTACATCTGCATCTGTCTATCGATAGTTTTTCAAAATTATTTCCATTCGGTATTTCATGTATTTGCAATTTTTGTAATTTTATAGAAATTTATTTGTTCATTTCATTTAAATTTATTTTGATCACAGTGTATCCATAAGATATACGTTCTGTGTATTTCTTCTTCAAGTAATACTCCATTGATTCTGCACAAAAATTTTTTAGACTCTTCAGCTCTCTACAATGTCTCATAAAGTATTTCGTAATTTCGTTAATTCTATGGTATTTTTACAACTCAACTGCACTTTGAGACATTCAATCTCAGTTAATAGACTTTAAAGTTATTTGTAGGATTGATTTTCATTATCATTACATGAAAATATATTTTACATATATAGTGACTAAAATAAAAATTACTCGAAAAAAAAATGGAGTTTATTAATGATAAACAATATATATAGATAATCAGCCTTTAATTATACACACAAATAATGTTATTTTTGTTTTCACAAACGGAGGACAATATTATTTGTAAATTAATTTTTAAAATAATTTAAACCAAATTGTTTGTATTCTTTGTGTTGGTTTATTTATCATATCCGTAAAAAATTGAAATGCATAATCTTGTTGCTACTAGCAACACTCTATAGCTCTTTTATCAACCTACAATATCCCTAAATTATTTTTCGTGATGAATCATCGACTAATATTTTTTTTGTCCTAATTAAATATTATTTAAAGCTTTTAAAATTTAATTAAAAACTAAATAGAATAAAATTGGAAAGAAGAAATTCATCTTTATGAATATGTTTTATCTAAAAAAAGTTTTATTTATTTTATTTCATCATTAATTCCGTATTAAGTTATTTTTTTTCTACACTCAATAATCTATTCTCTTTGTACTGACTGAATATCGATTTACACCCCTCGTCGACAGACAGTCTAGCGTATTAAATTCTGTTCCTATTCTCGACTTGTCTAATTTTGAAAAAAATTACTTGAGAGACATTCGTTTTAAGTACTTAATTTTTTTCAAAAGTATTTTATATTTATTATTGAAAAATAAATCAAATTATTTTAATAATAATTTAATTAAAAGCTATATTTAATTTAAATTATCGTTATTTAGTTAAAAGTGGAAAGTTAGTTAAAATGTTTGTTATTGTATGTCCAAAAGTAATGATTAAATAGAAAATGAAAGAATACATATCCATTTTCGTAGTCAGAAAAAAGAGAATGAGAAATGAGAAGCTTACCGGTTGGTTAATATCAGTTTGACTGATTGTATCTGACGGAATTTAAACTCTGTACAGTATACGAAAAATAAACAATACCCTAGAGAGACGAAAACAATGTAGTATTACATAAAAGTGCACTATTTCAGTTAATATTGAATACATTTTTTTGTTAACTTTCACTTCACTTTTTATCAGAGATTTGACTTATTAAATAAATTTTCAAATGATGATCATGTTTATAAATTAAGATAATTTTCCTCATTTTCTGTATATTTTTATTAGTTTCGAAAAATAATATCAATAAATTTTTAATATAAATCTTAACTATTTTTTCTAAATTAAATTTTGGTTAAAAATTGAAAATTGAGTCATAAATGAAAATTTTTGATCTAGGTTTTCTAATAATAAATGTATGAAATTTTTATAAATAGTGAATTTCTTGCCCTTTTCTTTGTAAACTCGAGGACTGGGATGAATTATTTATAGATATTTAATATATCATATAAAATATTAAAATTAAAAGTCTTTTGGAATTGGCTTTTAGCAGTCTTTAGAAATGGAATGTTTAAATTTATTCAAATAATAAATCTACTCAATTTAAATTCATTCCCAGAAATGATTGAGAATTTATTAAATCAATAATGAATTTATCTTTTTATCTAATTATATTTAATAAAACAATAGACTTTCTTTCCAATTATAATAATAATTTTACATCAATTTGATATTGTTAATGGATATTATTTTAGACTACACGTGGAGAGTGAATCGCGTGTAGGGTATGAATGTAGACTATACAGTAATATTGATTTACTTTTATATCACTGAGTGGTAAATTGTCACCGTGGTGGTCTACTTTATTTGCATCGAAACAAAAGAAGAGAAAAAGATTCTTTAAGGTCGCGTTTATACACATAAAGTATAATAATTCAAAAATATTTTCTTTTTTTAACTAAATATTATTTTCGTTTGAATTTCGTTGTATTTTCAATTTTTTCATCTTTTATTTTTTTCAATATTTTATGATTTTTAAGATAAAAAAATATATTTCTACTTTCACACAATGTAGATATGAAAAATAATAACGACGTAAACACAAGTTGATTCATTAGTTTTAATTAATTATACTGATGAGTATTTCTATATTTTGTTAAAGCTTTATACAGCAGCCGGGTATTTACCCGGAAATTCATTCGCATGAGTAGAAGAAAGCTTTATCGATTGAATCTAGTCCAGGTAAGGTCCCGGACGTTTGTTATTTCATTTGAAATATGAAGTGTTATTTATTCTTTGAATGTGTATTCATTACCCAATAGAACAATACACGACAGATAAAGGAAAAAAATAGGTTATTTTTATAAAAGCGGGATCAGTGGCCCTGGCCTAGAAACTCGTATTGAAATCTCACTGTGTAGAAGATGTTGAATATCGATCAAATTGTAAGCGGTTACATATCACGAAAAACCATATTTTATATAATTAGAATGAAACAATTTTTAGTATTAATAAACAATCTATGTTTTTATAAGTTTAAATTGAATTCAAGTAAAAGTAGAAAATTTTATTTTTACATTATTTATTTTTAATATATAATATAAATATATTTTTTTATACATTTTTAAAACAAATAACACATAAAACATTATGGATAGAACAAAATTATCTTGTAACTGTTATTATATTTATATTATAAAAATAAATATTCTTATAGTATATTATAAAAATTAAAAAGTAATTTAATAAAATATGAAATTGAAATAAGAGAAAGAGTAATTAATCAAATGAAATATTTTTTAGATCACACATTAAAAACTAAAAAAAATTAACTCTTTTATTTTTTATTAATGGATTTAAGTTGATTAATATTTTGGAATAATAATAGTATATTGATGATTCATCCTACACGGAGAGAATTTTTTTACTAAATGTAAGTGTAAAAAGTGACAAGTGCACATTTCGAAATTTAAAAGTAAAAATATTTCTATTCGATATTGAATTTTGGGTTGTCGTGAGTAATTTTTGCACTGTTGAACAGAAATATTTTTATTTATAAATTTCGAAACGTGGACTTGTCACTTTTTACACTTACATTTAGTAAAAAAATTCTCTCTGTGTAGTTGAGTTTTATATTAATAAGTGTTTTAGACCAAATTTAGACATGATGATAATCCTGAAGATAAATTACAGCTTCGTAAAATTTAAAAATGAAATTGTGAATGTTTTAAACACCTGAAAAATTTTCTTAATTAAGTCTAATTGAATATTAGAAAGTAATGTTGAACAAGATACCGAGTTTATTACTAGGTCATTGTCTTGTTTATAAATTAATTTCTTGCTTATTAATACAACATCAAAGATTTCCTTATCGAAAACAAAAAAAATTATTTAGCAAAAAAATGATTCTAATAAATTTTATTAATAAATAAAATATTAAGTGAAAAATTTCGATATTTACCCACGCAATTTATCAAAAAAATTGATTTCATTTAATCATATTTTGTTTTATTGCCTTAAGGAATAGGTATAAATTTAAAAATATATTTAATGCTTTATCTGTAGGGGGGAAAAAATTTATTTTCCAAACTATCATTATCAAACATTTTTTTTATAGACAATCGTTGGCCTACATACTTTTCATCTATTTCGTTATACTATGATAAATAAAGTAAATCAATCTCAACGCTATTGTCATTAGAGAATAAATTTTTTTAGACTTTTTCAAAGAATTTCATCTAGATCTTGTTTACTAAGTAATTTAAGATCTTTATCTTCCGTATTGTTTCTTCAAAATAGTCTCAGATTTTTGTTAAACTTAGGAATTTAGCAACAAATCCCAGACTCATACAGAAGGGTTTCCAGATGAAAAGAAAAAAATGATTTCTCAAGTGTTTCTTATTTAATACACTAAAATATGTTCGAGTGTATTTAAAAATCGGTCAAGATAAGAGGGATCATGTAGTTGTAAAATAGGAATGAAGTTGAATTCTTCTAGTTCTTGGTAGTCTTTCATTGAAAGATGCAAGATGAAACCAGCTGCATTTACAATGGGAAAGTCCATATATGTGCAAGGAAAATGGTGGCAGTGAAGCATCAGGGATGAGTCTGCAGGGGTTGCGCGCGCAAATTTCACAGATCAATATTTCATTTCAAGCCTTTTCTGCTAACATATACTTTGTCATCTTGTTACCATCTTATTTACCGTCCACATCCTTGGCTAGTTACCTCTCACTTTATCTTTATTTTCATCCTTATCTATCATGTTTTTATTCAGGTGTCTTTTATTTTTTTTTTTAAATTCATCTTGATAACAATAATTGTTTATTCATTATGCATTTATGTATTAAATATTCTAAAATATAAATTCATGATATAAATGAAGAAATTCAAATTTTCATCAGTTGTTTTGTATGTTGTAATCCTAAACTATCTGCTACATTTCTCAAGGTATTAAAATAGTTGAATAAGATTAAACATTATCCTATTATGTGATTATTTTCTTCAGCATACTTGCTAATGACCCGAAGGCAAAATTTATTAATTATCTTAGACTTTTGTATTGCAACACTTTGCATTTTCTCTCAACCCCAGCAGTATGTAAGAATTGAAGTTTTCTGAAAAAAATTTTTCTATTGAAGATTTACAAATTTATTTATTTACACGTAAAAACTTGTTGTAGAAATATAGGGTTAAGACACCTCGAGCGGAAAAATATAGGTATATAAAAGTATATAGACCTTTGCGCACTAGTTTTAGGCAAATAAGTAGATAAAATAAGGAAAAGATTCGTGCAACAACAATCTATGGAATGAAACGAAATGAGGACGATTGGTTGAAGAATAAGCAAAATATCCGAAATTAAAAATCTAAAGCGATTTGACAGATTGTTTTTCATATTTCTAACTCTTACTCGTTTACATATGGCTGACCAAAATCTGTCAAATCACTTCTCCTATAGGTATTTCTTTATTTTATCAATTTATTTGCCTAAAACTAGTGCGCAAAAGTCCATATACTTTTATATACCTATATTTTTCCGCTCGAGACCCCTTAATAAGTTGATAAACACTTGAGGTTACTGTGCTCTTACATTAAGAGTACTCATGAGTACGTAGCTATGGCCTACATGTATTTTAGTAAACACATTAAATATCCTAAAGTTATAACACTTAAATGAGGCATTCATTAATTAATCTGTCGATTTTTATGATAAATTATTGATGGAAAGCAAATACGATGCATTACCTCAATAATTGTGTATTTCATAAGTCTTGATTCTATTTGGAATCTGATATATTAAGTTTTATTTTTGTTTCTCATTTGACAAAAAAAAAGTATTTCCCAATCTCAATTATTTTTAGTATTGAAATAATCATAATAATAATAATAATAATAATAATAATAATTGATCCAATTAATTTGACAAGCTCTAAAGACCTGAAGAAATTTAGAAAAATCTGATAAAAATTAGAAAAAAAGAAATCTGCAGTAAGAAAACCCATAGTAGCAAAGAAAGAATAGCAGCATGATGCGTCGCGGTGTCCCGGGGCTGCCCCACCCAACCTCAATTGGCGGCCATGTCGGCGTCGATCAATATTTCGGCTTGAACCGAGTTGGAACGTATTTGACCGAAGATTCACGAAAATTATCGAGTCCTAGCCCGAGATATGCCGAGTCCCCACTCGTCGACAGCG